AGCTGCAACCGTTCCAAAACTTTTCTCATATGAGATCGCTAGCACTGGAAGGAAGAAATTTCTGCGTGCGGATGGGTAAATGTGAATTTGAATTGATTACTAAATCTATAAGGGCTAGATGGTCACCATAAAGGACAATGACCTTGCACTATATGTCTGAGCCATGGTTTTTTTATTATAATTTCATAAGAAGAACCTTGACAAAACAACGAATGACGCAAATTTTCTTTTCTGGCCGTCTAAAAAATAGATATCTTTATCACGTTTCTGGCTGGAGTCTATGGCTTGCAGATTTGCCTTCTGCAAAATTGTGGTTCGAGATGTTGATTGCAACTGGCTGTAGGAAATTTATGACAAACAAATGTGCACATGCAAACACATACAGATAGGCAAAACTCACATTAGGGGTGTGGTGCGGAAGGTGACAATCAACGAATTTTGTGCTTTTAAAACTCTCAATTGCTAAAGTGACACGGCTCCAAGGTAGGGGAAGGGGTGGGAATGGAGCAGGTACATGAGTCGATGCCACAAGTAAAATTCTGTAAAAGTTAGCGAGAGCGACTTTACACTGCTTGCATTTTGCGCGCATTGTCCCCTTCCGTGTGCCCCCCCCCCCCACCCCTCCCCCCCCCCGTACTTAGTGCTTTTATTATTTAGTGATGATACTATTAACGAAAATTAAGTTTTTATCGTCCAACGCACTTCATTTACGATCTCTCTCCTTTTTGACTCCTTGAAACGGCCCGCAGATTTGGCGTGCCACAGCTAAGTAGCTCAAGCACAAGATAAGAAGCTGTTTATAAACCTCCTGGCTTTGCTACTTTGTCGGTACTGTTCATTTCGAGCTTCTGTCGGAAATAAGTGTGTCATGAGCTCTTGAACTAATCATTCCTCTTCATACTGAACTTCATGCCTCAAAATTACTAATATGGCGTCGAGGTATGCACGTGCATCCAGTTTTTTCGTAAGGATTGGTCCTGAAACCCACAAACAAAAACAGGCATTCTCGATGGTCTTTGTTTTGGAACATCATGTATTTTGCTACCAAGAGTTCGTACATCTACGTTTTAGGGGTCCGCTGGCAAAAAATGCGAACGATTGGGCATAGTTCCCTATTTGGAGTTGCCACTACCGGTCCTGGCTGAAACAGCCTATGGGGCTTTCAATCTGACGTGAGTGTCACGGTCGGCGCCGCTTGCGAAACGCCTCGCGAGTCTTTCGTGGGGTTCCCCCTCAGCGGATACCATACTTTCCCATGTTTGTGGCACAGAAACTACTACATCACTAGGCATAAATGGCCGACGAGCTTGAGAAAATGTGCCCCGAGACACGTTCGCGAAGGCATCGAGTGGCTCAAGCGAGCGGCTCGCGACGACCCGAGCCCAGGGCCCGGCACAGATCGTCTGGAAGCAGGCTGGACTTCGTTTTTGAAGCAAACAGCTAAGGAGGAGATATCGTTTTTGCGGAGATCAGGGCCGAGCACCAAGAATAAGCGCCATTTAGTCGAACACAAGCTTTTCGGACAGGTTATCACACGATTGACATGCTCTATCGTGTATGGCGAAAAGTGCGCACGATTTGAAAGCAAGGCTTAAATAAACAAATTGCTTGTTTACAGCGCACACAGAAGCATATGACACCAAAATTGAACTGTATGTGGACAAAATTATTTGCGGAAGGACTGCGTAAAAAGATTTGAAAACTTACGTAAAGTAATACCTTTTCCAAAATTAGATCGTCTTCAGACGGCCAAAAGACGATCTGAGATCGTCTGGAGCATATATTTCTGCCACTTCACATAAGTTTCGGATCTTTCAAGCATGGACAGATTCCCCGTTTCAAAATCTATTCCTGAGCATGAAGACATTTTCATATCATTGCCTTTCGTATGTTTTTTGCCTTCATTTCTTTTCGTTGTTAAATATTGCGCTCTAATGCCAAAGTCTTGTGCATGCTATTCAGCTTCAATTTGGATTTTCACTCTTATCTTACGTCTTTTCTTTCAGACTAGTATTCTTGTGTTCATCTTTTCCTAAGCAGGTTGGTCAGAGGGAATTTCGTAAAACTTCCGAAAGTCAGGGGAGACCTCGTTTTCAAAAACCCCTAGGAACCGACTCGTGCCGGGCCCCGCCCGAGTCTCGCCGTCCGTAAACTCAGAGTGAAAGCCCCTATACGTTAGAGGTGTCCGCAGAGTTCATCAAAAAGATTTTACATCTGTCGCAAAAGCTTAAAATTTCCTAGAATTTCTCAGTAATAGTTGGAGCGTGTTGATACTTTGATAAACTGCAGAGCTGTGAAGATACTTTGAGACCGATGTCGGAAGTGGTTTTCACCAAGCAGAGGAGCTTTAGCTTTATATCAGTAATAAGTGTGGTTGTCACAATCGTAACTTGTGATATGATAACCTTGTTTATAGTGTGTTGTAAAAACAAAAATTTCCATCGAACAAAAGAATATCAAATAATAGACTTTCGTAAATATTTGAACAAGTAATATTATTCGATTTGAGATTTTTGAATTATTCGAATTCGAATATTCGCATACTGGCACATTTCAAAATTCAATCTTACAAATGAACGACTGCTCAGATAATTGCCGGGGGCACGCGGCCTGCAAACTCGCGCTTTTCTGCGAGCGGTCAGCATAATTTTGGGGCGTGGCCAAACCTTCAGCGAGCGGTACTTCCGTGTTCTGCCAGCGGGCCGCAATCCAAAATTTTCTGTAAGCGATCATCAAATTATCTCATTCAACGGGGGCCAAACATTCAGCATGCGCTCAGGTTCTTTTTGAGCAGTATTGGGCCTACGCCGAGCAAAGGTAACATACATAAAGAGCAGTGGCGTACCGAGGGGGGGGGGGGGGAGAATGGGTCGCGAAATCTTGTGCAGAGGACTTGTATTTGCTTGTAAATAATCAAAAAAAAAATTCTAAAAATTCAAATTTTTTTTTACAAAATTTTTTGTGCATCATTGATCAAATGACCAGTCGATTGGGAAGATATCTGAAATTTTGGGGTCATGGGCCAGGAGAAATTTTGGGAAACATCCCAAAAAAAATTTTCGGAGTGCGTTGCTGACGCCACGCACCTTCACCAAAAAAATTTTTTTGTCCCCCCCCCCCCCCTCCCTCCGAGCCGAGATCCTGGGTACGCCACTACAGAGGTGTCATCGACGGTTCAATTACCCGAGTTTGGGGTACTTAACCTCAGCGGAAAGTACCTGCGGGCTGTGCGGTCCTTCACAAAAACCGTGCGGCCCTCAATAATTTTGCATATTGTCGCGGAAGATCCGCGAGAATGCGGCCACTGCGCCGCAACTAATCTACAAAAAAGCCGCAATTGTTCTCCAAGCATTCGTTTAAATTTTTGCCAAAATTCTTTCAAATATCTGTAAGCGGACCGCAAGAAATCAGCGAACTATTTTTCCAGTGCCTGCATGCCCCCGGCGATTATCTGAGTAGGTTGTCCTCACGACGCTCTGGCATATCTTAGGAGTTCTTCAGGAAAAGGGTGCTATGCTACCATGCTATCATTGATCAAATGACCAGTCGACTGGGAAGATATCTGGGTGTAATAGCGGATACTGCAAAAGTTTTGTTCTTCAGAATTTTCGAATTAGTGTTTTCAAAAAAAAATTCGAATTGAAAATTTCTCAACTGGTTGAATAAACGAATTTGCATAACAGTTTCTTCCAGGTACTTGACTGAAGTAATCAAACACATGCATTTTTTCGGATATTCGACTATTTGAACATTCGAATATTCGAATAATCGAGAAAATCAATCGAACACGAATACTCGGCCTCAACTATAGTATATACACAGTACCAACCAGCATTGGTCCCGCGCTGGTATGCCTTGCGATGGCGGCTGTCTCATGCGACTTGCCTTAACACGTTGACGACCGAGCCATTTTTGACCACACCAAAATGGACTGATGATCTACGGCTGCGGTTTGGACTGTTTAACAGCTACCACAATGCCGTGTGTTCTATATGACAACCAAGCCACCACTGTTATCACTGCATAGAAGTTACCCGAGAACTTTTCGTTTACACATGATAAAGTGGTGCACGAAAGGTGGTTCGGATACACACGGTCGTCAACGTGTTAAAGGCAGTCGCTCGGCAGATTCTCGACTTGAAGTTTTTTGCTTGCCTGGGGGTAATTCGAGGCGCTGATTCCGAAAATCCACATTAGAGAGCTTGAAAACGGCGAAAACGAGCGTTTTTCAATGCCCTTACCCTTGAGATTGGACGAGTGGAGCAAGGTGGATGACGCTGAATCATGGCGGGACCCAATACTTATACCATTGCGGAGGGCAGCCTCCAATGGTGAGAAAGAAGTTGCCAACTCGTCCGCACAAGGTGTTAGGGGAGCGAAAGGAGGAAGGGGAGCGGAGCTTGGCTCGCCCCCCTGGCTTGCAGGATTCGCATTTTCCGCCCGGAGCTGCTGTTTTGGTTCACTTGGAGGGCCTTCTATCTATCTACGTCAAATTCTGAGGTAGGTCTATTCTGCCGAGCCGCTGCCTTTAACGCGTAGCAGAGCTCGTATGCCTCACATCGCACCGTCGTTAGTTGCCGCAAGCGCGACGTCGCATGGCCGATGCTGGTTGATTATGCTATGGTTGATTCTTCGTTTTATGCATAATTTAACATCCTGTAAGTCATAAAGAAATTGACACTTCTTTGAATGATTTTTGGTTTTTCATTCTTCGCGCCCCCTTCGAGCCGGCATTGGCATTCGAGCAAACTTGGGTCTGCCTCTTGAGTTTATTACATTTTAGAAAGTTTATCAGCGGAAAGAATTGATTTTGCTGTGGGTAAACCAACAGCAAAATCAATGCAGATTTCTTGGTGTTGCGCAAAAGGAGAATCTTGATCGAGGAGTAAGTGTCGTACCGCCCTTACAAATACTTGTGACAAGAATGAAAAGCTCAAAGCAAGATAATCAACACAAACTCTTTATAAATATCCAAAGCGAAGCATTCTTATTCATTTGCATACATTGCTCATCAATGAAGGTTGCAATAGCCGTATTACTGCTGACATACTGCCAAGTTCGCGGAGATGTCATGCGAAGAAATGAACGACTTGAGAGCGCAGACAATGCCAATGGACGTTCAACTGGAGTAAGCAGGAACGCCAGTGCAGATGTCGAGAGAGAATCCGAAGTCGTCGTCGATAGCCGGAAAGGACTAGTAGAAACTGTCTCGGAAAGGGAGAAGCGGTCTGATGAGAAAATGCATTTGCAAAGACATACAGGTAAGGCAGCTTAGATTTGCTAGAGTGTCAGTGATGTGACATCTCCGTGCCACAATTCAGTAGACGTTCCCCATTTTGATCGGTCGACGTTTCGGCACGGAGCCAGCACGGCACACGGACTACAGTGGCACGGCGGTGGCACGGTCAGCTCTGAAAGCAATATAAGTAATGCCCAGTAGTTGCGCGCCAAATTAAACGTACAGCCTAGGAGTAGGAAAACAAAGTAATGGTTCCAGACCCTTTTGGAGTTGCGACCTGAGTTCTCTAAACGAGGTCGTATTAAGGACCGGGCATACTTCACGCAATTTTAGTCGCAACGCGACTTGGCAATATTCCAACTATCCATAACTCATTGTAAGCACATTTTAAATGTACAGAGGATAGGGTATTTCATCACTCCACGTAAGTTATATACATACTGTGCATGTGCAGAATGCTAGCGTTGGATCTGAAGACTCTTGGCGAATTGCCAAATCGCGTCGCGAGTGAAATCGCGTGAAATATGCCCGCCCCTTTACAGGAATGCACGACTTGAAGCGGGATGTGAGATCTAACAAATTTGAGGCTTTTGATGGAGACGACGAGGAGGATGTTGATGAAGGTATTGGAGAAGGCAAAAGTCTAAGTTTCCGAAAGGGGTTTAAGGATACCTTTTCTATCGTTTTCTTTTCTTTAGGGATACAAGACAGAAAGCGAAAAAGGTTGTTTGAGTTTGATGATTATGACGAAGATGACGAAGATGATAAAGAATATTACGAAAATGAGGCACTGAATGGAAGAATTCATAACCTTTTTGTTAGTAGAACAACAATTACAGTTTGAGCAAACAATACCATCATTTTAGGTGGTTTTCGATTTTAGTAAGAAGGATGCCGAAGCGAAAGCAGCACTGATTAGTATGCTTCAAAAGCTTGTGGAAGGCGGTGATGTGAGCGGAAGAGTATCATCGATGCTCAGTGCTATATTTATTTCTTCAGAGAATTGAAGAAATAAATGTTGACGACGATGCTAGTTCTGATGCATTTGCTCAAAGTCCTGATATGGTTGGAATCGGAAAGCCTTTCAACTATGAGGATAATGAAGATTATGCTGAAGAAGAGGAGGTTTGCATGATACTTCTTCCTGTCCTCAGTGAGACATCCAATTTGACTTTTCAGGTACGAGCTCGCGGTAGAAAGACGCAGTCCTCAAAGACACGGCAATCGAGGGTAAAAGAGAAACTAATTGCACCCCTTTTACCCCCAGAAATTTTCAGCGAAGAATGTCTAAAAAGAAAGAAGGAAAACAAATAACACAAAGTTTGTGCCGCAAGAAGAATAAGCGTATAATAGCAAAACGAGAAATTAGCGGATTGTGCCACAAGAAGCATAAGCGTATGATAGCAAAACTAGAAATTAGCGGATGCAAAGGAGCAGTTGGTTGGTGTCTAAAAATTAAATTTCAGCTCACTTAAATGCTTACAGAATTCTCTGAGATGATCTGTGCTGACTATAACGCTTGCATTTCAAAGAATGGAAATAACTGTGAGGCCCTGTAAGCGTCGAGCTTTTGCTGTAATCAGTGCCTTAATCTACGACGTTAAGGATCTGCCCAAAATTCAAATCGGTATCGAAAAGGGAAAGCTGCTACAATCAACTGTTTGACTGTGATAATTGAAAGCAATAAAGTTTGCTTAGAAGTGTATCCTAAACTAAAAGCGTTAATCTGATTGTTGTGCTGATAATTCCTTTTTATAGTCATTGTAGTTCTTACGGTTTTTAATTCGGTGTCTTCAAAGCAAGCGGAGTTGAATTTTCTCTTATAGCACAGCCTTTCCATTCTAAGTGCACAGGTCATTTAACATATTGGTACATAAATCTGACCGACCAGATATAGATTTATTTCTGGTAAACTGTAGAAACCTATGGAGAGTATTCTACTAAAATTTTTCGTTGAATAAAGCTTAGGTCACCTCCACGATGAAGTGCACACTGAGCTCTCCAGCAACGATTTATCGAAGTTCTCATTCACGTTCAGTGCTGTTGGACTAAACGGAAAAAATTCCAGAATTTGCGTTGCAATTTTCAAATAAAGACGGTCAATTGCTGAGAATCACGAGGATCATTTGAAAAATTGAAAACGCAATTTAGGATAATACACTTGTGCACAATAAGAGCCTTGACTAGCAGATGCAACTACTGAGTGATCTTGTAAGATAAATAGGCAACTTAGAATTCAGATTTCAATAGCATCAAAATATGAAACTTTCTTTAGGGTGCGTTTCCTTCCCCAGCGGAAAGAATGAAGTACGCGCTAAGTAAGCTTTTTTGAGCCAGATAAGGCCCTTTAAATAAATCCGTCCTACGAATGAGTCCTTTTTCTTTCCTGTAACTACCCTGAAGTCTTATCAGGTAAGTCCGAAGACTGTCAGATGAGTCCGGACTTATCTGCAGATGGATTTATTTGTGGGAGGCCCTATCTATGAGATTTCAGGCTGTTTCGCGCTAATGCAAATTACGTTACGCTAAAAGCATTCTTATAGTAGTCCTCCCCCCACTAGGCAACTAGTGGACGAATTCAAATTTGAGTTAGAGCACGCCCATTGCGGCAGAACGCGGCACATTCAGCTCTTAGTTTAACATCGAACAGTTTTTTTTTGTGTTTTCCGACTTTTCATGCCATTTTTTGTCAACAGTCTTCTTGATTGGAATTGCATGCAATGCAAATTTTGTTGTTTTTGAGCGATGCGTGCTGCTGTGCTTGTTTCTATGACTGTGATTTCAGGTTAAGTTTAGAAAAACGGCTAAGGTTGGAGACTGTGCTAGTAAAATCTTTCCTCAAAGTTACTCTTGAAGTGTTACTTTGATGAATTTCATGTCAGAAATTCCCCATGTAAATCGTCCTTCCAACCTTATCTAAAGAAGAGTTAAAGAAACGAGCTTAATGGCATGAAACATCGCTAAACACCAAAAAAACTCGCTAAATTGATTTAAAACGCAATTAAACAAAAAAGTTACCATGTAACGATGAGAAGTGTTGGATGAGCTCGAATCGACTTTGGCGGTACCGCGCTCTGCCGCGACCGCCGTGCTCTAGTGCAAATTCGAATTTATTCACTAAGGCCTGTAGCTCCGCACTTCTGGGTTTTAGCTGTCTGCCCATCCGTTAGTATTCCTACCATCCTTCACTTTGATCATATTGAACGAGAGCGAGAAGGTGTATATGCCGCCAGTGGCGGTCCGAGGGGTGAGACACCCTCCCTCTTGAGGAATGGGTCGTGAAATGTTTGAAATTCACTTACATGGGTTATAGAAATGTGCAAGTGACTCGTTTACTCTTGTAAATAATCAAAACAATCTTTAAAATTTAAAAATTGAAATAATTAGCCTTATGAAAAAGCCACGCCCCCTTTTTCTAGGTTTCATGGTATGGCCTTGCAAAAATTTCTAGAAGCAGCCCAAAAAATTTTCCGGAATGCGTAGCTAAGGCCACCCTTCATTTGGAAAAAAATTCCCCCCCCCCCACGGACGGAACTGGGACTGCCACTGCATGCCGCATATTTCAGCTTTTTTGTTTGATCCCCTAATGTTTTCGCGGGACGACCGTCTTTCCTTTGAAGTCATTTTTCTTTCTTCAAGTCAACAAAAAACATTCCAGGTGTACCGATTAACTAATCCAATAGTGCTAACGTCAAGGATGTTGCTAATAAGAACAAATGGTGTTTTGGAATCATGAAACTTGCGATGAACCACAAGTCAAAAGTTGGGGTTTATCGAAAATTTGATATTCTAAAAACCGGTCACCTGGAATCAATAAAAAGCTGAAAAAGCGGCTTGTACGGCTCCACGCTCCTTTTCAATACGTTTGTAGTGAAAGATGGTAGGAATACTAACCGATAGGTAGACAGTGTTAAATCCAATTATCTGCAACTTCATGTTATGATACTTTCTTTCAAGCTGCAATCCCCTTTTCCGGCGAGGACGTTAGTGCATGCGGCTCTAGATGTCTTGTGGAGGGGGAGGACTACACAGTACTGGCCATAGCTATAAAGTCACCCTAGGAATCATGCAAATTTTGTTTTGACCTGTTGTGACTGAAATTGTCTGAAAAATCACTACTCTGTGTGTAGACCAACTTCAACGGCTAATGACTTTATTAAATTTGCCCAAAGAAACTGAAATGAAAAGAAAGAATTTGGAAAAGCTTGTTCTGAAGGTTGGTCATAGCTATAAAGTCATCTCCTTTTTTAAAGCACTACTAAATGCTTTGAATCAAAGATTTTTTGTACAACTACAGCATCAAAATGGGAAATAATTGGTGCACCCGAGAGCTGTCGCCTGTCAAAAAAATTGTAGCGCATTTTTTGCTTTGAAATGCATAAAATGTCGCATTTTCTCAACAGCAAAACTGCTAGTTTGCAGAAAGTTTGAGCACTTTGCATTTTGGATGAAACTCTTAGGATTGCCTAGACCTAGAACTAGATGACCGAAAAGATATGCTGTGATATGCCTCTTGAACTTTTCGTTTTACATTCCCTTTTTACTTCAATGCGGAAATGTGAAAATTTGCAGTTTGCCATCCTGTAAGAATCAGTTTTATAACCTGCGCAGAAAAAGAAACTGAGGGCATATTATTGCTTTGTCAGTTCATTTTGACTCAACATTCAAAGCAACTACGCTATGCAACTGCAAAAAATCAGTAAATCGATAGAGGCAATTGGTAGGTCCCAGGAATGGCTTATCAAAACACGCCCCACCCCACACTATGTCTGCCAAATTGACTTAACGATGACCTATCCCCTTTGTGCGAACGTAGATAATTTTTGAGCGAAAACTGCAAAGAAGCAATAAGACGATAGAAGCAATCCGTGTGTCCCGAACAAAATGGCTTATTAACACCACGCCCCATCCTATACATTATGTATGCTAAATTTGGTTCAAATTCTAGTACTCTTTCTATCCTTTTTAGGCGAAGATACAAAAAGTGGCTAAGCCGAATATTATGCAAGTATAGATAAGTATAGATAGTTTTGTAGAATTTGACCGATGAGGAGTAAAAAGCGGGAGAATTCGGAGTGGGGTGCGGGAACTTACCTACCCGAAGGACTTGCCGCAGCATACCTTAGGTATTACGAACAGTCAGATACGCAATTAGCATAGTGTACAGAGCCTAGTCTGCGTGTATTCTAAGCCCCGCCCCCATTCATCGACTCTTTTGCGATGCATTTTTATCAATCTGAAACCGGGAATTCAACAGATCACAAAGTCGATGTTCGGCAACAATATCTGCTCAATCTCATTAAAAATACAGATTTAGGGGTTTTCGGAGGCGCTCTTTTCAAATGTGCTATTGGTTTTGCGCTGTCTTTTCTTACAGAGTCGAAATTTTGCTTTGGTGAATCGACTTTTAGCTTAAGAAATTTCCACAAAAATAAAGCATGCCTTAGGACGCATGTAAAATTGCTTTTTCACTATTCCTCTCGGAATGCTAGAAGAATGACCCATTTTTCTGTGAGAACAGCATGCCCTAAGGATGTAACCTTAATGATAAAAGAAATGAAGATGAGCTATTCCATAAACGATCAATGTGTACAGGACGCTGCATGCACATGCTTCTGTGATTCAAATATTTTATCTATATAATTGATATATATTTATAAATGTCTTGGTTCCTTGTCAAAAAGTGCTTGTGGGCGGGGCTTAGCTTAGCGCTGTATCCTAAGGAGCATCTAAAATCAGCGCGCTCGCTATGCCTAATAATACCCCGCAGATACACACCCATAAGGTGCGAGAATGTCTTGGGTAGGTAAGTTCCGTTCCCCTTCGGAGTGCTGCGAGATTTATTGCGGACAACTAATCTACATTTGAAGCGTTTTGGCACCAGTGTTGCGATTGTGTTTTTGCAAAAATCCTAACAACTTCTGCTTGAGTACGTCTTCATGCAATTAACGTGCTACTTCCAACCAAACGTTTAGGCTAATCAAAAGTCGAGTTTTGTGGCTTGAAAGAGCGTTTACACCATGATAAGACTGAGGTTCGTTTGTCAAGAACAACGATTACGCACTGCTACTGAATTAGTCGAAAACAGCAAGCCTTGAGCTCCATTTAAGTCAAATAAGTGCTTGAAAATTCTGAGAATCAGCAGTTTCTCGAAATAATTCGACTCTCTTCCATAGAGAAGCAAAAAAATGCAGTATTGTTTTATGCTGAAAAGCGATAGCTCCCTTCTTTTCAATGGGCGACAGCTCTCAGGTGTATCAATAATTTTCTATTTTGATGATGTAGTTGTATAAAAAATTTGGTTTCAAGAAATGTAGCAGCGTTTGAGAACAGGAAGTTTTATTAGAGCGGTGACTAAACTTCAGAACAAGTTTTTCAGCTTTTTCAACTTTCCGGCCAAAATCAATAAAATTGGGAGATCTTTCGGTCAATGATAAATGTTGGCCTATACAGGATAGCAGTTGTGCAGAAAATTCCAGTCAAAACAAGGCAGATTTTGCGTGATTCATAGAGTGGTTCTGTAGCTATGGTCAGCACTATGTAGCGCCTTTCATTGGTCCTCGTCATCTTGAAAACTGGAGGTGCTTAAGGCCTCGGACAGAGTTCACGCGATCTGATCGTCGCGATTCAATCGCGACAGGACAACTGTTACGAGTTCATTGCATGCCGACCAGCTTGAGCCCGAAATTTCTGAATGTAAAATGAAAATGAGTAGAAATCGCGGCGATTGAATCGCGACGATTAAATCGCGTGAACTCTGTCCGATGCCTAAAGACTATGAGTAGAGGCAGCTCCATCAAAACAAACGTAACACTCTAGGAACTTTTTGGGTAGATTAGAAAGAAATTACTTTCGACGTAAAAGTTAGCTCAAAACTCTGAAACCAGCTTCTCCAATATTACTGTAAGAATGATCTCAAATCTAAGACAGGCAATGATAAGGTTTATCACCAATATAAAAAGAAGAAGGGCTTAAACCACGTTTATTTACCGGTGTCACGAATGAAGTTCGCCTTAGCAGTGTTACTACTAACATGCCACGGACAAAACGGCAACGTCTTGCGAAGGAACCATACAACTTGGAATGAGGATGGTGCTTCTCTGAAGGAAATCATGGAGAAAACTGTTGAAGCTTTGGATAACAGTGCTGCAACTGAGATTGTTACAATAGAGTCGGAATATTCGCGGACGAGTAATACAGTGGAGAGTGATAATGTAGACACGATACATATGGACAGTACTTCTAAGGCTTTGAGAAAGAAACCCTCGAGTCTTTACGAAGACAATAAAAACTCAATCCCCAGAAAAAGGGACAGCGATACTGGCCTCGACGAAACAGATCTGAATTTTGACGACAAGTCTGATCGTGATCTCGTTAAGCCTGGGAAATTACCAAGTCAACAGATGTTCCTGGATTTTAACTCGAATGAAGATGATGTCGTCAAGCCTCCACCAGTACCAAAACAGCTCCCACACAATGACCATCTTTGGCCTAAGCCTAGAGAATTTGGAGAGACTAGCTCCAAGCCGAAAGATCTTTTCGAACCAGTCAATGTTCTTGTAAGATTTTGCTTGTTTTCTGGATTTGCTAGTAATGTAACACAATCGTTCAGTATTACTTTGACTTCGGCGGTAAGAGCTTAAGGAGAAAGTATGAGAGTCCGAAAACAAAGGTAAAAACTTAAATCGTTGAAGTTTGTGGGAGTTGCACCTGAATAGCAGTTAGGCGCAAAAAATAGAAAACGTGGACTAAAACGTCTACAAAATGGAAATTTCGAACACTAAAAGCAAGCATCAAACATCTATGCCTCAGGCGTAGTTGACGCAATTTTAAAGCCTCGCGGTTCTCCCAACAGCGAACTATTAGGAGTCCATTGCATATCGATCACCTTGCATTTCGGGTTGTGATAGTTGGTCACGATTACTCGTGTCGGGAAACTATGACAAAAGAAATGCAGGAGGATGGCGATGGCCATGCAGCGGACTCGTAACAGCTGTCTCGTTAGGAAAATCGCGATGAGATCAAATTGCGTGAATCTGCCCGAGACCTTAGTAATCGTCTTAAATAATCTGAGAAAGTTAAAGAAATTTATGTCACTGTCACAGATATGCTCCCGTACACACAGAAAATTTGCACGTCAACAGGAAAAAGCTGGATGTCAAAATGCAGTTGGTGCGTCAGGTTATTTTGAATCTAATGATTAAACTGGCTGTACAGACATTGTCTACACTGCTTGTTTGAACTATCGCAAATGTATAAAACTGGGTAGCAAAGATGCAAGGAACTGCATGGATTTGTAAGTATACGTAAAACTGTTCACTTCTTCAATTATATGTTTTAGAGTGTGCTCCAACCTTAAGAAACTTGACAAGAAGGACGAGTGTTACAATAGACTGTTTCCGTGCAAATTGTAATTCAGATGCTTGCTAGATATTAATTATGGTCACAAAACTCAACTAAAACGTTATATAATTGAAACTAGCCATTTCATTCAAGCCAAATTCACCTGTTACATTCAATTTACTGTATATCATCGCAATTCGTTACAGCACTTGAAATCCTCCCGAGAGGACGACGGTAGCTTACATCGCATCAGTCTATTCGAAGTTGAGAATAAGAGTCTTGATGACGTCAATCTTGGCACACCGTCAATCTGACCAGTCGCAGCCGCGGCTAAATCAATCGGAGCGCATTGTTCTATTAATCGAAAATTATTGCTAAATTCGTATAGGCGCCTACAGCGGCAGCCTTAGCTGTAGTGCTTCTGTGGTGACAACATTGGCCGAAACCTTTGCCACTGACCATGCCACATGTACGAAGTTATTATGTTCCAATTTTCTCCATAATTTTCGAAAACTTTGGTACTCATGATATAAGATTTATTTCCCAGCAAGATTCACATAGATACCATCGATTGCACAAACAATTCGCTGGCTTTCGCTCGTCTGAACACGTTCGCTTCGGAGAAAGACCTTAGATTTGCAGAGTTTAAAGGTCCGGGCATACTTCACGCGATTTCAATCGTTATGCGATTTGGCAGTACAGTATTCCAACTTGCCATAACTCGCTGTAAACACACTTTAAATGTACACAAGATAGGACATTTTAGCAATCCGTTCAAGTTATACACGCTATGCATGTGCAGTTCTCTAGTATTGGATCTGAGGACTTCTGGCAAGTTGCCAGATCGCGTCGCGATTGAAATCGCGTGAAGTATGCCGGCCCTTAAGGTCTCGGACAGAATTCACGTGATTTGATCGTCGCGATTCATTCGCCGCGATTTCCATTCATTTTCATTTTACATTCACAAATTTCGGGTTGGAAAAGTATCACAACCGAAAGCAAGCTGGTGGGCATGCAGTGAACTCGTAATAGTTGTCTGGTCACGATTGAATAGTGACGATCAATTTGCGTGAACTCTGCCCGAGGCCTAACGGTTAACACATTAACGACCATGCAGATTTTTAGTTGTTTGCCTTCTGGGACCAAGGCCTTTTGCGGACCAGCCCACATTTTTCGGCTATAATCACGCATGCTGCCATCTACAGTAAACCTACAGTAGATCTGAAAGGCCGACAAAAAGGTAGAGGTCATTCCTAGATTCAGCGCAAAAGAAAGCTCATGGAGGAGTTTATTCTAGGATAGTAGCCACTCAGACAAATCACGGGAACTTCCCGAGGGGCAAGCCAATTTGCCAAACTTCCCGAGGGTTTCATTTAGCACGTAAATGAATGGAGCCGTAAAAATGGGAACTTCCCGAAAACTTTGACGTCAAAGGCAACACAGTTAGGAACTTCCCGAGGAAGTCCTCGGAAAGTTCTGCAAAATGCAGAACTTCCCGCGGATTTAAATTTGAGGGAACTTCCGCAGAGCTATTTTGAAAGTTAGCAAAACAGTCCTGTTTTGCTCGTTTTGCAAGCAAGACTACCTGCATCATAATGATAAGTTCCCCAAAAAAAGAACGATGTCAAAAACGTGCTCATGCACGTTTTTGACAAAGTTTTTTGAAAGTTCCCCCACAGCCCTCGGAAAGTTCCCGTAAATTGTCTGAGCATTTCAACCAATTTCAAGCCTTGACACACATGGTGTGTCAAGCGGTCCCACACGATAGTCATTGCTTAACACACCATGTATGTCAAGCGGTCGCCAATGTGTTAAAGGGAGCGAAAGGCAGCAAGCTGAGCTCGCGAGGGTGGTGCATAAGAGAATCGCTGGAGCATACAGCATATACACAAATTCTCCAGAGCAACTGCAGACACACATTTATCTACTTACAGGCATTCGAAATCGCGACGACTGCGCGATAGCGCAGCGCACGCACGAGCTCCCAGCAATAGCATTTTCTTGACTTTTATCTCTACTCAAATGGTTTTTCTGTTTGCACCTAAGAGTATTCAAACACTGAAATCAACTGAGCTGAGCGCTAAGGTGATGCCTGTTTGTATGAATGTTTCATGCTCCTGTGTGCCAAAGGCCACAAACAAACTTGTCGTCACAAATTCAAGAATAATCTATACTAGAACATGCACGTTCATTATTGTTTAGAAGCTTCTAAAAAAACTTTGATGCTTTTTGTACTCACAAAAGAAGTATTTTAACCTACACTGATTTTGAAAGAAGACATATATTTGGAATCAGCTTGAAACGCAGGCCAAATGTGCTGTTTTCGGCAGCTGCGCGTTAGTCAAAGCGAACGAAGTCTTTTTTCCGTGGGGAATCTGCAGGTTTTGCAATATGATGAATAGAGTTTGAACAGGACGATCAGAAAAGTGATATCTACATCAAATTATATTTACAACTAGCGACCCTACGGGTCCTAGCAAATGGGTCAGGGCAGGTACAATATAAGGGCTTAGTTGCGACTATAAATATTTCTAAATAAGTTTCCTATTCTTTTCCTGAGAATTTTTGCGAAAAGCTCCTACAAAAAAGGCACTGCTCGAAGAAGCGATGATTTCCACAAATTATTCAGCATTTCGCGAAATTCCAGCTACAACCATGCATGAAGAATATTATTTTTCTCTCATTTACCACGCTCTTTCTGCAAATTTCCCCGTCTCACAGAGACATTCAGAAAAAAAAAACCCCCACTTTTCTACCCTCTCAAAGAGAATCTGCTTTTTCAGTTCTTCTCAAGAAGTTCTATAAAAGACCGTTAAAAGTAGCAGAATACCTATCGTTTTGGAGATAGAAATACACCCATAACAATTATGTGTACTACGAAAAACACTTTTCTCTCAGAATTAATTCCGACGGCAACGAAATCAGTCGTCTAAAACAGTTTGTCAGAGAATCCTTCAATTTTTTCGCCAAAAGAATATGAAGCTTTACTACAAAAGGAGAACCCCCTACTGAGCCACCTAAAGCGTCAATCATAAGAACTGCACAAACGTACAAAAAGTTTGTCTCCCTGTCAGATCAAATTGCCCTACGTATCGCTTACAAACCAATATTATCCATCTGAAAAACAGTTCATACCCTACGTGCCGCTTGAAGACCTTTCAAAAATTATAAGAACTGCCCCAGACGTACAAAAATCTGTTTCCCTGTCCGATCGAGTTGCCCTACGGGCCGCTTACAGACCGACAGTAACTATTCAAATAGAAAGTGTATGCCTTATGTGCCGCTTGAAGACCTTATAGTAAGAAAAACCGACTACGACTCCTACAAAAAGAAAACAATGAAATCAAGTATTTACAGCGTATTCTCAAACTCCCGTACGTGCCACTTTAGGGGCCGGGCATACTTCACGCGATTTCAGTCGCGACGCGATTTGGCAATATTCCAACTGTCCGTAATTCATTGAAGCACAATTTGAATGTACAGAAGATAGCGTATTCTATCAACCCACTTAAGTCATACACACCACGCATGTGCAGTTTGCTAGTATTGCATCTGAAGAGTTCTGGCGAATTGCCAAATCGCGTCGCGACTGAAATCGCGTGAAGTATGCCTGGCCCTTTAGGAACTTCAATTTTGAGAACTGCCCCAAACGTACAAAAATCTGTTTCCCTGCCCGATGGAATTGCCTTACGTGCCGCTTACACACCGATACCTACTTGCAAACACCAGCGGGACCCATTAACAAGCAAATGCAAGGCTGTTGTTAGATAAACGCTTCCAAAAGTACCACGAGACCAAGTTACTCATGCACTCTCTTGTCTAAAGCGGAGCAAGATAATACAAATGACTGTTCTTAGTTAGAGCATTTTTACCAAGAGTTGAACATGGATGAATTTAGCTTAAGTCACGCTATTACGCAATTTGGCATCTGTTCAAAAGCAATTAATAGGAGTGCAACATATTTGAAAGACACATTATGGAATAACAAGCTCGAAAAAAAAGCAGGTACAAATAATACACCCGGACATTAGCGACCCAGTCTTAAGATCATTGCGACACTCATGATTTCCTTTCGAAATACGTGTGACCCTCTTACGAAAATATGCTTGGTCACTCGTGAAATTTGGTAGCGTTCCAAAATGCATGCCACTTGGCAGCAATCCAAAAATGAACATCTGTACATTTCATCATAATTTCTCCGTCTGCTGCCTCCTCGTTTGCCATGTTCCACGGATCAGGGGTAATAATGGGTAAACAACGATACCAAAATATATTACGTAGTGATACAATCGATAATATTCAAGAATATCGAAATATGGATGGCAAAAATGAACAACTATATATCACAAGTGATCTCATGCCGTTCCTGTCATATTGCCAGCTACAACACCCACTATATAAAGATACCCTTACAAGGTCCACTTTTACTTTCGTCATCTTTGGGTGAAGCTAGGCACTGCCTCAGAAGCACATTGTCGGTGTGACCCCTAGTGAGTTGTTTGTGATTTGAATACCCCTTGATCTCCACTTAAAGTGAATTGAATAGTCGAGCTAGAGGAGAGGTTTGGCCTGTAAAGTGCAGGAGTAAAGTGAATGACTGACTTTCAGGCCTCTGAGGAAGGCATTAGTGCCGAAACGTTAGGCCGAATAAAATATTCATATCAAACCTGTCTGGCAAAGAAAGCTACTGAATATTCAAGAATATCGACAACGAGGCACTGATGTTGGCGACGGCAGGGAGGTGCTATACTATTCAGAAAAGGTAGTTACGGCCTTGTTGAATTGGTAGCGAAAGCTTGGAACCAGGGTCAAGCGTGTGATGCGACTGTCGCAACGGGGGGTCGTAAAGGGGCCTACGGTGAGGGGGTGGGGGGTCGTAAGGGAGGGGGGGGGGGTAGTTTGGATAAAAAACCGTACGATTGAAAGCAAATCAAATAGCAAGTACCCTAATTTCCGGGGTATAAGGCGCACCTTGTATAAGGCGCAGCAGCCGCAGCGGACAATGAGCGAAAACGCTTTTCAAATGTTTGCTCTTTGAATCTAAAAAGCTGAAAACTCAGTGTGCTGTGGTTATTCTTCGCTGCCTATAAGTCATGCCTCAGGTAATTTTTCCTCTTCTCAAAATGTATACTATGATATCGTTTCTACAGTTGTTCTATTCTTGTCATTCTTGATAATAAAAGAAAAGATAAAGATTTGTTTTGAAACAATTCACTATTGAGAGGAAAACTGCAAAGAGGGAGCAAAAAGCTATTGCTGAGGGAAAGAGGTTGCTGTCGGCTGCTTGTGCGACGTCGCGCATCGCGAGCGTCATCATACATCAGTCCGCGCGCGGTAAAAGCTACTGCGCCTTATACCCAGGAAATTAGGGTAATTATTACATGTTCTTAACAATAAATTCATGGAATGCCGTGTACCAATGTATCAAATAAAATGGAGTGAACAATAATTTGAAAACATTTGCAGGCGTAGAAATTCGCTTCATTTGCTGCACTTTTGAAAGATTATGACTTACAAGGGAAGTTCACTTAGTCGAAGTGGCAATTCGGAAGGAGATCTATACCAGTGGATAGAGCTTAAAAAGCTGATCTCAGATATACCTTCTATATCTGCGATGCATTGTTCTGAAAAAAGTTATGAGCTTTTCTAAAGCAAAATTTTCGTGCGTTTTGAGTCGCAAAATCATGATAATCGCTAAACAAAAATGTGCAAACTCAAGCAAACCACCTAGTAAGCATTGTAGATCTAATTCGAGTTCATCCGAATGTTTTCGAGTGTTTTCCGAGCATAATGTTTATTCACAGACCGTCATCTCTTTTCTATATCACACTTCCATTATATATACAAAAAAGCCCATAACCTCCATCTAGAAGAAGGCGTCGCAGATATTGAAGATATATTCGGAAACATCGTTTTACTTTATATCTATTGGCAGTTTCCAAAAAGTTTCCGACGCGGCGCGTTTTTCTAGATGGAAGCTATGGGGCTTTTTTGTATACATAATGGAAGTGTGATCTAGGAATAAAATGGCGACCTGTGGATGAACTGCATGGTCGAAAAACACTTGAAAGCGTTCGAATAAACTCGAAATAGACCTAAAATGCTTGTTAGGTGGTTTGCCTAAGCTTGCGCACTTTTGCGTAGCGATTATCATGGTTTTACGACTCAAAATGCACGAAAATTTGGCTTTAGAAAAGCTTATAACTTTTTTTAGAAGAATGCATCGCAGATATAGAAGGTATATCTGAGATCAGCTTTTTAAGCTCTATCCACTGGTATAGATCTCCTTCCGAATCGCCACTTCGAATAAGTGAACTTCCCTTGTTAGCTCTTTTTTTATGGGAATTGCTATTTCTCCCGCAAAATATTGTCTCAGACAGGGATTGAACCCTGCTGGCATGACTAAAATCCAAAAAATAAACACTTTCAGAAGCTCAAATGCTACTGAAGGCATGTATGTGTGATAAAGATGTTGCATGTACCGATTGGTGTAGACATCCTGCTTCCGAAGGCTCACTGAAGACTTGCACACTCGACAAAAGCGCACATGTAGATCAACGATGACAATCAATAATTCGTAAATTTTTTTGTAATGCCATTTATGCGTCCCTTATTTGTTTATTTGATAAAGTCGACAACAAAACAATCATATCTTTTGAGGCAAAGAAAGTACATCCACGGTCGACTAAGGAATCTTGCTGCCTCTCAGAAATTGTGTCCCCATTTTTTTGAAGGCCAGCGAGCCTACGGGCGGAGGCTAGCTGGCTATAACCCCATCAAAAAGTATTTCCAAAAGGACGGCAAGACATGCAGACAGAACAAGAAAAAAACGAACAGAAAATCAATGAAACTTTCATGAGGTGGATAGTTCATCCGAGAAAGGGAAATGAAGTAGAAAAGAAACGATGTATGGCTTATGGCTTATTGCAGTGGTTTTTTTAATGTTTTTCCTAGGGAATAGAATAGGAGGAATAGCATATAGTGCGATTTCCTCTTCTGGATAGAGGAACCAAAACCGGCTAGAGTGCTGCTGTTGAGAGGACAAAGGGGAACGACCTCTTCCGCTTCTGCAATTAAAAATCAGAATGACCCTTGCGATTTCAAATATTTTTGAACTTCTCTGTTGAAAATGAAGGCGTTTCTCGCAGTAACAGCTTCCACAGGGAGATCATTCCAAGTTTTGACTACGCGCACTAAGAAGGAGTTGAAGAACTGCTTAGTTCTAACTTTTCCTACTACAACCCTGAAGTTGTGTCCTCTAGTGAGATTGTTAAAAGTTGACAGTCTGAAAAAATCTTGCATTCTCAGCTCAACTCTTCCAGTCATAATTTTGAAGACTAGATCTTGGTCGCACATCACTCTTCTAAACCGAAGGGAGGTCGCGGCGAGTATGGAGAGCCTAGTTTTGTATGACAGTCGAAACATTCCAGCCCGGGCAAAGATCCTAGATGTGAAAGATCGTTGGACTCGTTCCAAGGCATCAATTTGGGCTTTCTTATAAGGGGACCATAGAGGAGTACAATATTCCAACAGAGGTCGCACATAGGTGACGAAGAGGCGGAAGAGCGTTTTGACATTCGTGGTTTTAAATGCGCGTAGTATGTAATTACATCTGGTGTGAGCAGCATCAATTATATCTCTTATGTACTTCTCGAACTCCAACTGGGAAGAGTAAGTCACACCAAGGTCTTTAGCATTATTCAATATTCGAAGATGTTGTTCTCCAATACTGAATTGCCATTGGGGGTGCATAGCCCCGACTGGCATAATGAAGGTTTTTTCAATGGAAATGTCGAGCTCCCATCTTTTGGACCACCCCTCTATGGCATTTAAGGCGTTCTGCATCAGACTAGGGGAATTATAGCAAAAAAGCTTGGTATCGTCAGCATAAATTGAGCAGAGTATATTCTGGGGAAGGCATGTCGGTAGATCATTGATATATAGCAGAAACATCACAGGACCTAGGCAAGTTCCCTGCGGCACACCGCTCGTTGTTTGGTACGTAAAAGAGAAGGATTCATTGACTTGCACCTTTTGCGTACGGTTAAGCAGAAAGGATTCCAAAAATTTGAGCAGTCTTCCCTGAATGCCATACGCTCTTAGTTTCTTAAAAAGTAGATCCAAAGGCACAGAATCAAATGCTTTTTCGTAATCTAGGTAGCAAACTGTAACGAAACTTTTATCATCAATAGCTTTTTGCCACATAGGCACTGTGAACATGAGAGCTGACAGTGTAGATCTTTTGGGAAGAAAGCCGTGCTGCGCATTGTGGATTAGCTGGTTCCTTTCAAGATAGGAGCAAATCTGTTTGTTGATTATTCTTTCAAAGACTTTGCTAACCGAAGATGTCAAACAAATCGGTCTATAATTCATGACGTCAGCTTTGCAGCCTTTTTTAAATATTGGCTTCACAATTGCGGTGCGCCAGAGTAAAGGAGTTTCCCCCGGAGAAGGAATCTTTGGAATAGTAACGCCAATACTGGAGCTATACCGAGAGATGCCTTACGAAGGAAAATGTATGGTAGTTGGTCAGGGGACGTGGATCTCCTAAGTGGAAGGCGCCTCAAAATATGATAGACTGTATCCGTGGTGATATCAAGATAATCGAGTCTGGCGTTTGTAAAAGATGAGCATTTTGCTTCAGAGGTAGTAGGCTCTTTATAAACGCTTTTAAAGAATTCGGCAAACCTTTCTGCTTTGTCCTTATCACTCTTACAAGCGTGCCCAGCAGAGTCATATATAGTACCGATACCGTTAGACATCTTCAGGTTTTGATTGCAGTGATAGAATGCTTTGATGTTGCGGCTACGTGCGATTCTATCCTCTTCTGCAAGTCTACAACGGTACAACTCTCGCTTGATTCTTGAGAACCTCATATACTTCTGAGGGCCAATTCTATTCCTCGCATGATAAAGCCTAGAAACCTTCTCTTCAAGCCTGAGTATCCTTTGCGGATACATGAGGGTGTGACCACGGGCAACTTTACGCCAAGGCACAAAGTTGTTTATAGCGTTATAACAAACGTGAAGGAATAAATCGTAACAATGATCTGCCGAAACTGCGCTTAGAATGATGTTTCTCCAGTCAATTTCCAACAATTTTGCATTTATGGCAAAATAGCCTGCATGAGCAAAGTCTAGAAAGTATTTCTCCGGCAAAACAACCCTACGACGCTTACGCAGCTTAAAAGCTATAGAGCGATGGTCCGATGTAGAGAAGGGTGCGCGAACTTGAAGATTTTTTATAAGTCTACAGTTATTGGGGGGGGGGGGGGGGACTTTTCATACGATCGGGGTCTTCACACCTAGCCTTCGCACCTACCTCGCACCTACATCGCACCTCTCCATCCTCGTAATTAGTAAGATTCTCCACTACGCCTAGGTGAGGGGGGGGGGAGGGGGACTTTTCATACGAACGCTCCCTGATCGCCTAGGTGAGGGGGGGGGGGAGGGGGACTTTTCATACGAACGCTCCCTGATCACCTTGACCTTTTAGCGGTATGCTAAGGTGCTGGTAATACGACCACTTATCGATTATAATGGACCAAAATTAAGCGTTTATTATCAAAAACGTAAAATAAAATTCACAAGGCACATAAATAAGCACAATAAAATTATCTCTAAATCTTTTTTCACTAAATGCTTTTATTAGAAACAAATCTAGCCATTCGTATGCAGTATTTCTCTACTTGATGATTTCGTAGTCGCCCCATACGCAGCCGATGGTCGAAGCTGAAATAGAAATTTAAAAAATCAGAAAATAATTTTGCGAATATGCAGCGATAGTCCTTACCTCGTCATCTCCGCTGTGATTTTCTCTCTCCTCAGCACATCTCTCCGTCGCAAACGCTTACCTTCAAGCGGCATCTAAATTTGAAATTTCAGTATTTTGAATTTTCAGTTTCAGTAACTTCAGTAAAAGAGGCAACCCACTCTTTCAGCGCGATAAAGGGCACACTTAGCTTCCAAATCTAAATCTTTCAAGACTCGAATCAAGGTGCCCAAAGGAGGGTGATCACAATTTAGAATTTTTTGCAATGAGCTGAAATAGGATTAAGAGCGGTATTGTTATTGTAGATGGGCTAACTGCACCTGTGGAAAGCCTCAGCGAGGTTTGTTGTTCGCATTTCAAATTTCTTCCATTTGCACCATAGATTTTTGTACATGCCAGAAAGCCAAGTGTTTCGCAGATACCTGCAAAATAAAAATGAAATATTTACTGAAATTAGCTTTTTTGCTTACCTGAGAAATCTGGCACATTTTCTATATGCATCGTGTCCACGGGGAACGGGTGGTCCTTCCAATGCTCGAACACGTGCTCGCAATCTTTTCGGTAAAAATACCAGCCCCTTGAGCATTTCCCACCACCGTGAAATTCGCCTTTCTCTGGTCGGACCTCAGTTTTTATAATTGAAGCTGCAAACTTCTGAGGTAAATAATGATTGCCTACCGCAGAGGTATTGACGAAGTCCCAATTTATCTTTGCGTCTGTTCCAGGCCTGAGCCATGTGGAACGAGCATCCCTCCAGCTAAATAGTCACTCAAGTCAAGTTAAAATTGATTGCAATATTTTAACCTGCGCTCCGGCAAATGTCCTTTTGGCTGCGTTTATAGAAGACTTTTCAAAATCCAGTACTATGCGGAGATCCTCGCGTGCTCCGAAACTTTGCAAAAGCGTTTTTAATTTTTCAAAAATCTTCTTATAGATCGCCGTGGTCTTTTTGGTTGTAATAGCGTATACCAACGGGACCTCGACGCCGTTTCCACAGACCCCGTGCACTGAATACAATTGTCCGCTCCTTGCCAATTCCTTGGGTTGTGCAGAATGAACGCCATCCGCCACCAGAACATTTAGACCCACAGAGCATGCCTTCTGAAAGCAGTACGCAGTCTTTTGTTGCTCGTCAAACCAAAATAAATCGAGCTGAATAATAAGTGAAATAATAAAAAATCAAAAATCAGGGTTTTACCTGAATTGTTCGCTCTGAGAAATATATGTGGAACCGCTCAGACTGCTCTTGCAAAAATAGCGCACCATCACAAAGACATTGCAGGTCAGATGGGACATTTGCCATTGTTGCCCTCTTGTCTTTATGAATAGCGAGATTTCTAGAAATCAGTGTTAGAAAGAAGGAAGAGGGAACTGAAATTCTGAACCTGGCTATCTGCCTTTTGCGCATTTCAAACCCAATTCCATAGTACTCACTCACGACCCCGTCATGCACTGCTTCGTCTAAATCAGGATTTTTTTATACTGCATTTTGCAACTGTACGTTAGCACTATAAATGCCGTTTTACCTGATTCCGTTCGCGATTCTTCCCTTTCGCGGAGGCCTTTATACCAAATTTGCTTAACTCTCATTCCTAAGGAGTTCGAGTCGCCTCGTATGGACTGCATTTCCTCGTAGAACTTCCTGATATTGGCGTCAAATGCAACCGTTTGGGAAGGACAGATATGCCCAATACTGCAGGGATTTTCTTGGAATTCGTTGCCGACAACCTACAGTTTCAATAGCAAATTTTTGTTTTGAAATAAAATCTTAGCTCACCTTGATCTTGACATAGCTCCCTTGCGACTGGCAACGTATGCAACGATAGACATCAAATGTATTATTTTTTCTCAAAATTGAGAAAGAATAAACCATTCTTGTATTAGGGATTCTATACACGAGGACACTACGTTTTCCATGTTTGCTCAGTTCGAATTTTCCAAAATATCTTACGGGGCTAATAGCTTGGATACTGGGTATTAACTCGCTTTCATCCCTAGTAAAAGTTGCAATGTTCACATCCCCTGTGGTACCACCTACTGAGGACTCTAGAGCCGGTTGACTCGTGTGACTGGAAGTTGTATCGGAAAAAGCTGTCGAAGGATTTAGAATGTTTTGAGTTATTTCGAATAAAGGCTCAGAAGCGCGTATAGGCAATGAGTTGGAACTAGGAGGCATTACTGCTTCGCTCATTTGATCATCAGAAAAATTGAGTTTGAGCCCAAAGAGCTGGAATTCGTCGCAACGGCCGCGCCAGAGGCAGTGTACAATTGAGGTGCATCTAAATTTGAAAAAAAAACAAATAAAACAAGTGGATTTTTTGCAAAACTTACTTGGCACAGAAATATCCATGTATACGATCTCTTCCAAGTTATTCGAATTAATATTTTCTGATTCTGTGCGTAAAGTAAAGAATATCTCAATTTTATTTGTTTATAAAGCTTACCTGGCAATGGTGGGGGTGCACGAAACGATGAAAAATTCGAAAAGCTTTGAAATAGGGTATCATAGTAAAGGTCGTCAGGCCACAGCGAATTCATTCTCGCAAACAATTGGCACAATTGTGATAATGATATAGTCCGCTTCATCGGGTCGCGTGCCCTCCAATATCCCCTATAGGAACGGTAACACTTCCAGGTCATGCTGAAAGGTCGGAAAGGCATATGACATTACTCAAATCAGTTCAAAACGTCTGCAAAGGAAAAACCGAACTATGCCGACTTGAATACTAAAAAATTCATGAGTAGAACGATTATAATATTATTGTTCAAAGCAAAACACTTTTGAATTCACACAGCATTCAAGTTTTCATTTTATTTAAATTCGCGGTGCTGCAAAGCTAATTCTAGATGTTTTATTTTTTTGGAATGGAGCCAGTAGGCACAAATTCGGCATGGTGCCAATTTTCACTGGATCTTTGCCAAAAGATGATGTGGGGCATTCGTATGAAAAGTCCCCCTCCCCCCCCCTTCCCTACCCCCCCCCCCCACCCCTACAGTATACTAGCCGCGGAGGTGCGAGACTTGACACTTAGCCGTAGGTGATCACACCTCGCACCTCGGAATTGCTCATCGTATGAAAAGTCACTCACCCGTTATTGGAGAACACAAGGTCGAGCAATTGCAGATCTCGAGTAGGGTATTTCACTAATTGGTGTAAGCCATAAACTTCTATAAGCCGCAGAAGTTCCGTGGAGCTGGAGACACAGCAATGACTTCCCAAACTACCACTATACCAACGAGTATTAGGCAGGTTGAAGTCTCCCAAAATAATACAGTCTTGGTTTCTATCGAGCATCTCTGCAAAGTATCTCACTGCACCTCCAAAGGATGTGCTATCACATTGAGGACTTCGGTATACTAAAATAAAGTAGGTGCAACCAGCTTTTTCAGTTAAACAAAAACATAGACACTGGCAGTAGGGAGAAAAGTTTTGGCTGGCAACTAAGTGGTGCTCTATCCTCCTGCTAATAAGGGCAAGGACCCCTCCTCCCACGGTGTTGCCTTCTCTATCGCATCTATATATATCGTAATCAAAACCTTGACAGACATTAGCATCATGTATAAGATGTGGTTTGCACCATGACTCCGTGATAAGAAGCATGGATGGCGAGAAATGAAGGAGTCTATGCAAATCAGGAAGTTTATTACAGACCAGTCTGATCGTCCGGCTTACGCCGGACTCTCAAACTTCTGTTTTGTTATTACCTTCAACAACCACATCTACTTGTTTGTTTAATCATTTTTACAGTCTCTGAAACAAAGACTTTAAAATTCATAAAGCTGCATGCAATCGCAGATCCAATCTTCAATTTTATATTTGTTTTTGGGTATTCTTTTAGATATAACAACGATGGCGTATAGGAGCTTTTATTGAGTTTTTCAAACAAAGTAAAGCGCAACGTTTTTGAAAAAAATGGTAGATGTACTTTATCGTGATTCAGTGCTAGTCTTGAGTGATCTTCGTTGAATTTTTTGTTGCTATAAATAATCCATAGCTTACTTTTGTTACCGTATGAAACCGCTGAATACCTTGCTATTTTCATGAGCTTACAGCAGTACCTCGTCATACACAACATTCTTTACTGATATGTCTGGAGAGTTTACCCTTAAACCTGCTGGAGAACGAACGCGGGAGAGGGCGACATATAGCTGACCATGACTAAATACGTCCTCTGGCAGGTATAAGCCCACTCTATCGAAGGATTGTCCTTGCGACTTGTTAATTGTCATCGCGAAGGCCACTCGAACGGGAAACTGTCTTCTCTTCAATCGAAAGGGTACATTGCCGTCCCAGTAGTTATCTATTTTAGGGATTATCGCAAATGTATCCTTATGTTCACCACAAATGAAACGGCAGCCGAGTATGCGACGTCCCAACGTTTCGATCTTCATACGCGTCCCGTTGCACAAACCATTGGCAACGTCCAAATTACGAAGCAGCATTACGACGGCACCTTTCTTCAATCGTAAATCATGCGGAGGCATGCCGGAAGGCTCAAGCGTGTTTAAATATTCTACTGGATACATGTCTCCTGAAGCTCCCTCCGGAAGTACTGCTTCGTCTGCACTTTTATATGTTCGTTCGTCTTGTGCATTACTGACATGTAATCGCTCCATCGCTTCATCATTCAATCTCTTGACATGCGCGTTTTTGGGAGCGAGTATTGCTCTGTTGTACAGGTCTTCTGTTTCTTGAGCATCAATGGTTTCACCAAAGATCTCCCTGACTATGTTTCCTGTGCAAAGAACATCGTTTTGCAGATCAACTCTGCCGTCTTCGTTGTTGGCTTGACCGCTTCCTACATCAAGAAGGAACCTATGCCAGCCCTGACCTGCATCTCTAGATCGCATGTTGGATTGTAAACGACACACTTTGAAAAGTGGCCATAACACCGATCGAGTAACACAGGATTCAACAATCTCTTCCCTTTGCCCATGCTCTATTACGGGGAGTATTTGACGAAAATCACCGCCTACGATCAGCAACTTTCCCCCAAACGGCCTATCGTTTTGCATTATATCACGTAGCAGGGCGTCTACGGCCTCGAGCGCACATTTTGGTGCCATTGATATCTCGTCCCAGATGATTACGTCTGTGCTCATGAGCTGACGTGCTTCCCTTTGTTGTCGCTTCATAGTTGATGAGCGATTTCCGTCCGCAATGTTCAGTTTAAATGCTGAGTTTACAGTCCTTCCTCCGGGAAGCAGGTTCGCGGCTATACCCGTCCATGCTACACACAGAATCTGACGTCGCTGCCCCACTACTAAGTTGTAAATTGCTGTGTATAGATACGTTTTCCCTGTCCCACCGGGTCCGTCTATGAAGAAGCAGCGTTGATTTCCGCAGCTCAAAGCTTCAAGTATATCGTCAGCTGCTCTTTTCTGCTCTGGGTTCAGTGTCTCATACAGGCGTGACCCTTCGGAGTGATAAAACTCGTAGTTGACAGGTATCGCTTGCATGGATGGACGTTCGTTAGCGGGCGGTGCGACAATTTGTTGCAGCACTTTGCCCATAAGCTGCATTCTGTCTGCCACGTCGAAGTAGGCAATCGCAACAGCTTGCGTAACATCAAATCCTTCATGGACATAGTCTTCCGACATCGCTGCAGCAAACTCATTCCATAACTCTTGGGCATCAGATACCTCACAGTAGCATAGTAGGCAAGCAAAGAAACTGCGTAGTGCAGCTGGTGTTTGGAAGTGCACTGCTTCTTGGAGGCTTTCCCTAAGATAGCTGTCATCGTCAAGTAGACCAAGTGCTTTGGCCGCATCAGAAAACTTGGGGTACGTCCGTCCCTCCACTGTACGTAGGTCTTCGAAAGATGTTTTTCCTTTAGTATTCAAGAGCAGAAGGCGCAGACAGTATCTTTCTATATCCTTTGGTGACACTGTATACATTCTTCCGATTTCGCCACCTCTGCGTTTTCTCGGTCGCCAGCCTTGTTGAGGAGTGAAGGTGAAGTACTCGGGCAGCTCGTAATAGTAAAGCTCTGTAGGGTCAACATTTGCTGCAGGAGACTCCACAGCTGTTGTTCTGTACACCCGATTTAGTTCGAAGTACGCCGTAAGAGTAGTGAAACGATTCTGCGCGCGCTCAAGATATTGTTGCTCTTCACCCGCGATGAAATGAATCGTCTGAGATTCTGGTAAATGCACAGCTAGTCGGCACACACTGTGTGATTTGTCCTGCAGGCAGAAACCGAATATTCTATGTAGTGCCTGAGGCGAGCACACATACCGCGCATTCAAGTGCTGTTTAATCTCGTCTACGGCTGCTCCACTCTCACCTTCAATAGTAAGTCGTGCGCGGTCTGGTCCCTTGTAAATGTACTTGTATAAGTACTTAACTGCCGAGATGGTACCGCATACTTCAAGATTTATGTGGCAGTTAAATTTGGTAATGAGATACAAATTCGTTGGGACCACCCACGCATCGTTGTAGACTGTACTGTTAATTGTACACGTGTTTTTGTTTCGTCTCCTGTACATCGGGTATCCATCTACATCCATAGATGTATTCTCAATCAATCGTTTGGGAAATCGTTTAGAACACTTTCCGTCCCGCATGCACGGCGAATTTGGATCGTTCACACCACATTTCTTGTGTATCATGTAACCGGTGACAGCCGCATAAGCTTCTGGCTCTTGCACAGGATCTGGTATTTCGGCACATATCACACTATCGACATCGTCAGCCGTCTCAACCTTGTATGCACTTTTCATGATGAGGAGCATATGGCAATGCGGCAAACCTCTTTTTTGAAACTCAACTACGTACACATAAGCGTCAACCTCGCCGAGAACGTTCCTTTTAAATAAATCCTCACATAATTCTTTGAGTTTGCCATGAAAGACTCTCGTAGTCAGATCCGG